TTCGCTCACTGAGGTCGACTGTTCTTGTTCCACGTGACATGTTTAATGAATGTTAGTTATCTCCTGTTAATTCCCCTCTCCAACTTCTCCACTGCCTTAAACGGGTATTGAACTCACACTCTTTGTGTCCTGTCACTGGATTTCACCAACGACTTTATCCACGGCGCTATGTGTCCTTGAGGACATCTGTGTACGAATGTCTGGGTATTATAAACATAATGTCTTCCGTAAACATTTTTTTAGTTATCATTCCATGTTTTTCCAGTGCTCATATTGCAATTTTTGTTGTTATCATTACTTTTCTCTGGCACTCCTTATTACTGGTTCCCATATTGTATTTATTTCTATGCTTGGTCGGCTCAGGAGATGTTTGTGGCCTTGCATATGTGCTGATTCCTTAAGTTTACGAATTTTCCAAGGGTGTTCATTGTCTATGATCTCAACCTGATCCCACAGAGGGCGGTGATCTCCCTTTTTTCTCCATATGAGGTCAGCCACGCCTGATTTTTCCACTTCTCCTCGTGTTACAGCTTGTGGTGTTCTTGAAGTCTTACCTTAAGGTGGGCGACCTGTCTCCTCTTTATATTTCTATACAGGATAGCGTACACACAGTCCTTAGTCATATTCTCTTCTATGGGTTGAGTTTGTATTCGTAATTCAAGTTTCGATATTTACTGAATTTCCTTCATGAGTCTCGGCTACGATTCCTCTCCTGCTAGCATCGCAAATGACACAACGTCTTTTTTATGTGGGGATGCCCATGCACATGTATATGCAAAAGATATGACAAAAATTGCCCAGTCTCCTTGGCCACTGTCACGCCTGAATCGATATTACACTGACTTCACCTCTCAGTGCACTAAGGAAGAAACTGACGCTGGGTCGAAATCCCTGGCACCAGGAGCCTTCTCCGATGTCATAGGAGGAAAGAACGCTTTGGTCCCGACCAAAATTGTCAACAAAAAAAGAAAAAAAGAGAAAAAAAATGAGTTCACATTTTATATTACAAACCTGAAGACACCTGCACAAATGATTTATAGGTTCCACAAGTTAGAGATTGTGGGAATCAAGTAACTGAATTGTAAAATATACATGATAAACGTTTTGTCCATTATATTCACTTACGTGCTAATATCCTTGGGAAAGGCATGAATCCTCTTCTTTTCCAATCAGCTTTGGGTAAATAGCAGGACAGACCGAGTTCTATAACCTTGGATAGCAACTAGTCTATCACAGAAAGAAATAGCAACCTACTGCGGAAAACAAATCCGCCTCGTCAGTCATGCATCGAAACATACATGATCGCCTAAGCGTGTATCACGCATAGCACATAACGGACTGACGATATTCAGTCACCCCCCCCTCACGGGGGCGTCATGTGGCACAAGGCCTTTTTAACGTGAGCTCTCCGAATCCGTGGGCTCGGCCAAAAATATGCCCATTGAATCCGTATAAACGGGTTCAGGGTCGGTTTTACCTCCCCGAAAGAGACTCCGCCCTTCAGCGTAGCCTCCTTCGGGTTCCTCCCCGCCCGAAGGCAGAGAGTTCAACCGATAACTGACTGACTGATTTGACACAAATCATTGAGGTTATTTGTAAATACGTTAGTAGCTTTGTGGGTTTGAGTTTGCTTGTGTATAACTAAGGTTAATTCAGAAAACTTATTTTATCGCATTACTTTGCATTATCATATATACAAATTACAAATCATTTTTGCATTGTTATATATGCAAAACCATTTTACATAGAACATAATTTTAACACAGTTTCAAAGAGAAGCTTTTCAACTTATTTTTAAATTATGATAAATGTGACAAAACAATGAATAAATTCGATAGTTAAGGTTTCAGAAATATTCACTACAGTAATATTTTAATTTCAAAGCAATTGAATTTAAATTTAATTTATAATATAAATATAAATGGATGTTCCTGTGTTTTAAGAAATGTTGCTGAGTTTCTTGGAAATACTTTATAGATGATTAAAGCATTATTTACATTATTCGGACTATTGTCCTCATCTTTGCGCCATATTTATCACAACGTTTCGGCCGTTGTACGCCCCAGCCTTCTTCAGGTGGTTGGAATTTCGAACTGAACCCTTTATTTCGCTCACTGGGGTAGACTGTTCTAGTTCCACGTGCCATGTTTGATGGATGTCAGTTATTAGTTATCTCCTGTTAATTTCCCTCTGAAAGTTCTCCACTGCCTTAAGCGGGTATTGAACTCACACTCTTCGGGTCCTGTCACTGGATTTAACCAACGCCTTTATCCACTGTGCCATGAGGACAGATTAAAGCAACTAAATACAAATGAAAGATCATGAAAATATTTTATTCTTGTAAATCTTTTATAGAAGATGAAGACGGCAAAATACTGATGGAAGATCATGTAGAAGAGAGAATTTTTATATTTGTAAACCTTTTATAGAAAATAAAGGCAATTAAATGCACATTAAATATAATAATATTTTATTCCTGGAAAGTCTTTACGGAAAATGCAGGCATTTAAATACAATTAGAAGATTCCGTAGACGAAGTAATGCTTTGGAAATCTTATAGAAAAGTAAGGCAATTAAATACAAATAGAAGATCATGTGGAATAGAAGTTTTTTTTTTTTTTTTGTTTTTTTGTTTTTTTGTTTTTTGGAAAAGTTTTATAGAAAATAAAAGCAATTGAATACAAATAGAAGAGCATGTCGGATAGAAATTTTTATGTTTGCTAATGTTTCATAAAATGATAAAGAAAACTTGGTTCCTGATTTATTGAAAGCATAAGTTGTAAAACAGGGGCAAGTAATGCGTCTGATTACTACTTGTCAAATTCATGTTAAAATAACATTTTTCTTATCAGTAACGCGTTACCGTGATCCAAATATGTATCTTGATCTCTGGAGATTAAAAAAGAAAAGGAAGCCCGTGTGTACCAAATATCTGTTTATTCTATCCAGTTGATCTGATGTTTATCCGATGTAGACTCCTAGAAAGTGCAAAGTACTTCTCTGACGATTTATCATTTCTCCATCGGAAACATAAAACTTAATCCAAGAAAAAATAACGCTTAAAATGAAATGCGTTGCAAGTGTTTGTGTGGCCATTTTTTTTCACCTATATGTGTTTTGTATACCTATACGTGTGTTAATATTTAGCAAGTGTTTTCTGTGCCTATATATCGTATCCTCAGCAAGCATGACTCGCAGTTGTTTGATATTCCAGTGAGTTCAGTCCTTACTGGATATCTTGTGCCTTACAAAACAATGCTTAACGGACAGGTAGTCTGGTAAACTATTTGAGCCATGATTCCCATACTGTAAATATGCTTATAGTAGAAAAACATGAATTTAGACTTGAGCCGTTTCAATTTACTTCGATTAATTGATTTTATTTACAGCTTACCAACCTTTTGTGTGTTATTTAAAGCCAGAAAATAATGTTACCTTGTAAGAATTTGTTGAAGATAATAATTTATTTATTAATACAAGTCCTACTAATTAACCCATAGATGAGGAGAAGAGATTGATTCATTCCTTTCCCAAGAGTATTTTCGCGTAAATGAACCCGACAGGAAGTGGAACTCGGCTCTTCAGTTACCCGCACATCCAAACTTACAGCACCTTATATTCCCAAGCGTTCACCTGCCTAGGTACTGACCAGGCTCAATGTTGCTTAACTTCGGTGATCGAACGAGAACCAGTGTTTCAACATGATTGGCCGTAAATCGCTTCGAGTTACAGGGTGAACGCTTAAATTTGTTTGGTGTAAAACAGATTTCAGAAAACCAAAATATTAGATTCGCCGACAAAGAATAGGGAAGATATGATAGAAAAATTTCTGGCATCTTCGTTATAGAACGACGCCGGACCAACAGAGGCAATGTTATAACAAATTCGTTCTTGCATTGAATACTGTTGCCATATAGGGTTTGTTGCCCCCCGCTGTTAATCTCGAGGTCCTCAACGAAATCTAGAGACGGATATGCAATGTTATAGGTCCTGATCTAACATCTCGTCTAGAGTCACTTTCTCACAGACGTGCTGTGACTTCCCTCTGTCTTTTCTACAAATATTTTCATGGCAACTGCTGTGACGAGCTATTTTCACTGGTACCCCGACTGCATGAATTTAAGCGTGCTACTAGGTTGGCATCTCGATCCCACCCTTTCCCTGTCGAAACAGTTAAATGTATCCGCCTCTTCTACTCCAACAGATATTTATCTAGCACTTCCCGACAGTGGAACTCCCTTCCTGTTACTTGCTTCCCTGATAGTCATAATCTTCAAATATTCAAATGTAATTTCAATCCAAATCTTCTGATGCCTAGACCTTGATCCCCGTCCTTCTCTTTATCCTTTTCCTCACCCCCACTTATTCTTGTTCTCACTCTTTGTAACTCCTTGCGTACGAGTTGCACTCCCACCTTGGTTGGTGGGGAATGCTTAAAAAATAAAATAAAATAATGTACCACTGATCAACTAATAATGCATATTTCATACTGTTTAGCGTCAATGACTGTTAGAAATGTATATTAAACTTATATATATTACACAAAATGTCAAGTTTGGCCGTCCAATTGATTCGTCTGGCAATCGCGTGAAATTCAAATGTTTGCTTGTAATGTATCCAGATTGAACATATTACCGGACCATCCATTATCGGAAAATCGGTGGCGTAACTGTATACCACAATGACAGCGGAAAAATGAATGGCAAGACGAAGAAAGAAAACATAATCGTGACGCGTTTCCTCCCGTGAAGAATTTTTTTTTTTTTTTTTTTTTCAGATAAGGGTTACATTGATGGAATCAATTTTACATAGGAATGCATACAAATGCAGAGGGGAGAAATGCAACAAACACCGGTTGCATCAAAACGTTAAAGATACAAAGACGCTTAGCCTTCAAATTGATATTCTTGTCATCTGATTTATCTTGACGTTAAACATTTGTTCAACAGTTTATCGCTTTTATTTTTATTGTTATTACTTTAATTAATCTACATTGTATC